TCGACAAAGATACCCTCTTCTTTTCCTTAGACATTGACCTCAACGAACTACTAGAAGTTTTTTTCTTTCTTATTCCCATAAGAGAGTGAATTAATTCATAACTATCTTTAATTGATAACCTTGCCACTCTTTTCATATCAAGAACAAATGATGTAACTTTATTTTGCCACTCTTTCCCTTCCCCTTCTTACTATGAATATTTCCAATTTCCTCAATATTAGAATTTCTAGCTCTAATGTTTCTTTCTTTTTGATAAATTCATAACTCCAAGGTCCTTGCCATTCTTTATTAACCTTTAAATCTAAACCTTCCTTAGAATTATCATCCTTACTCATTCTCATTTCATTTACACATGTTGACCATTCGGCGTGGAGTTGATTCACAAGGTTATCAACCAAGGGCATGTCTTCAAACTCGTTATTTGTTTCAGTAACTCGAGACTCATTGTCTACCTCATACTCATCTAAGCAAAGGTCATATTCTAGGCCAAACTCTAGGTCATATAAAAATCAAATTGGATATTCTTCCCATCAACCTAAAAATCATCTACCTCATTTATTTTCCCCCACCAATTTTGTAGTGATCAAAATATGAGTATAATCAAACCTCAATTTATTAATAGTCCATTTGTTGTTTTTTCAATAATATTCCTTTAATCGAAGCAAGTTCCCCAAAAACACCTTATATTTCATGCATGTAATGATATACCATAACAACACACCCACACACCTCTTTCATAAATCCTGCTACTATCCTTCGACCAAGCACGACAATCATACAGTAGAGTACTAAAGAAATTGTTTACTTCATTAAAAACATACATTACCTCCATTTTCACGTAAAATACAAGAAAATTGTGTCTCCTCCAACGCCGCCACCATACAATCATGAAACCCAACATTTGAAATAGTTTGTTGAATAACCGAAACTGTAATACCATTCTATATCTTAGCCACCAGACCATTACATGCTTAGTCGATGTCTTTAGGAGCAACCTCATAACTTCTACCTGTCGGTGCCACGACTTCCTTCCCCTCTTCGTCCCCCTCTAACTTCTTACAATTCCCCTCCACTATCTCTTCATATGAAGCCACCCTACCATCCCCCATTGAAATAAAAATCAGATCCTCTTCCCTCTCTTTTTGCCTCTTACTTTCCATACCCTCATCAGTCACCACTATGAGATTTTCTATTTATTTTTTGCTCCTTATCCCCACCTCCTTCACCCACTACAAATCATTCTTCCTCCTAATCCAAAACTCAGCTTCCCTCCTTTCAATATACCTCGTAAATTTTCTTTCATCATATCTCGACATTTTTCTCCCTCCCCCACCCCTGAGTTTCTCATATCACCTTCTCAAACCTATCATAACGAGCCACATTCGCATACAATCTATAATATCCAAAATAAACATTATTTAAATCATTTTTTAACTTTTACACATCCCTCACATTAGCAAACTGAGAGAACCCGGAAAATTGGCCCCTTGCATTTCTATTTCGAGAAACAAAAACATCGATCAAAATTTAACATACCTCTACTTCCCTTCTAAAATCAACATACTGAAGATGATTCGAAATATTAGAAAAATTGAAAAATACCATTTTTTTTCCTGAGGTGGTTCCACACCTGCTTCGTTCCTACTGAATTGATTATTGGCATTGCACCACGTGTAACAGACTCTTCATGACTCAAATTCTATGCGTGTGTGATCTTCCCCTATAAGCAGCAGTCATAGAATGATCAAACCTAGACCTACGATGAATTGCTTCATCGCAGATTCCGTAGCCACCATAATTTAGGTCAGATACATGATTAATTTTATTAAGTTTGTCATACATGTAATTCTGTCCAAAGCGTGCATATCTCTCACCCTTGATTCCTCCCTGACGTGCAGTCCCTATAAACATGTCTTATCATTGTATTTCTGATCATTTTGCTTTCGGATTTCGTGCGCTATCCTCAGTCAATTCTCCCCTTGCCCCTTTGTTTTTGCCACCCTGACTGAATTCCCCCATCCCTAAGAGCCTCGTTGCTGATGGTGAAATTGCAATGGCTGGAGGCTAATTTTGGATGTTCTTGATCACTCGCCGCCGATGATTATATTGAATAATATTAATTTATGTGAAATATTCAAATGTGACAATTATTTTAATAGAGAGATTTATAAGTAAATTTATTTCAATAATATTTTTTATCAAATTATATTATCGATTTTTTCCTATTATATTTTGATATATCTGAATATATAAGAGGTAAATTGAATATTTCTCCTATATGTATTATATAAATTTTTCAAACTTTTGGAATCCAATTTGTCTAAACTTTATTATCTCTACCAAAAAAGAGTCATCGATTTCTTTATTTTCACCTAAACTAGTGAAGCACAAGATGAAATATGTAACACCTCGATTTAATTAGAATTATTTAAATTAAATAATTAGATTATGTGATGTAATGTCTTTGTTGGGGATTAGATGTCTTAGAAGTATGGGAGTTGAGGTTTTAGGTGTGTATGGCTAAATATGTAGAAACATGGAGGTGTGTAGTATAATAGGGATTTTTATTATTATTATATTATAATATTAGGATTATTATTATTTTATAATAATAATTAAATAATTATTTAATTGGGATAGTTATTTTTTATATTGGGATATATTAGGGTGCGAAGAAGAGAAAGTGAGTCAGTACGTAGAAACAGAGAAAGAGAAGCGTAGAAGTGAGAAGAGGAGAAAGCACTAGGAAGCTAGGTCATGAAAGTTCATCCATAGGAATCAAGAATCATCACCAATCTAAGGTAAGGGGGGATTCTAACACTATAATAGGTTGCCTAACAATGGGGTATGGTAGAATTTAGGTTGCAGGGTTGTATGTTTTGATTTCTCCCTAATTGGTATTCTTGGGGTTTTTCTCCCATTATTGAGTTTTGATGCATTTTTGTATGATTGATTGTGAAATTGATGATGTGTTTTGGTTAGAATCGATAGGCATGTGTTGGTGAATAATTAGTATGATGGAAAGATAAATTTTGATGAGAAAAACTGAATATTTGTGTGTTCAAATGTCAAAAATTGCATTTGACAAAGTTGCAGATTTTTCTATTCTGCAACACTGGTAACCGGTTACTAGTCTGGTGATAACCGGCTACCGCGTGGAAATTTAAAGAAAAGAGGTTATTGTGTTACGCAGTAACCGATTACCATAATGCAATAACTCGTTACCGCTGGCAGATTTGAAAAACAGAGCTACTGACTTGCATAATAACACGTTAATGGTATTGAGTAACCGGCTACCACTGTGTTGGACAACATTTTTGTAAAATTGAAAACTTCATAACTTTTGACTCGGGTGTTCGTTTGACGCGCTGTTCAAACTCACGGGAAGCTAAAAATGTTTTTTATATAATAAAAATAATTTGAAAACAGTATGAGATGATTTTCTGAATTCTTGTATTATTCTGGTAATTTGATGTAATGTGAAGTTGTGAATATGATGATAGAATTAATGACATTGGTATTGTGATTGAGTACGATGATGTTACATGAATATTTTGATTGTGTGACATGATATGCATGATAATGATGATGGTGATGGCCTGTATTGGCGTGACATTGATAGGTAAGAATATTCAATGTGAAATTAAGTTGTTGCATGTTAGTGTCGCATGCATTCATGAAGCAATGACCTGTATTGGCGAGCGATGGCTTGTATTGGCGTTATGATGTTGCTGTCCTAAGTTAGAATTATTAAGATGGAGGTTTTACCCTGTTGGTACCACATGTATTGAGTCAGTGTCGGTCTCTTTGCATCACATTGTGATTGATAATTTGATGGTTGAATATTGATTAAGTATGTATTATATTATGATGGATGTTATGTGTTATTTGAGTATTTGATGTACCTCGTAGTATGAAGGATGTTATGTGTTGACTGTGTACTTGATTAAATAATGATGTACCTCGTAGTATGATGAACGAAGTAAAAATGTGAGATAAATAAGTGTAATTATGTGTACTTGAATTGCTATCTACTTATTGTTATGCTTCATCCTATATTGTTTTGATATCTCACCTTTTCTGTTTTAATGTTACCTCTACGTGGATAACGTGCAGATGATCCGAAGTAGCTCGAGGTTGAGGTTAGCTAAGAGTTACCTCAGTTGCGTACATTGAGTCGGTGTCTGCTCTGATACGTAACACTTGGGAGTTTTGCGTTTGTCTTATTATATTGGGAGTAAACTTTGTGTAACTCCGTTGTTTTGAATTTACCTTATGATTATGCTGATTTTTGGATGATGAAAAATACCAGTCATGTTGATAGTTGAGAATAATTATTTATTGATGTTTTCTGCTACGAATAAATGCAATGAAGTTAAGACTTTGAAGTTTATGATTTTGTGTTACGTATCCTGTTTATTAAGCATGTATGATGTATGACGGTATGTCATCCTATTTATTAATATTTATTATAGAAATTAATTTACTCTAATTTTTTATTAAAATTACCGATTGAGAAATAAGATATTTCAGATATATGCATGAAGTTAACATAAGTAAAACTGTCCAATCCAAACTGGAATGTGGGCGCATGGTAGGCCAAGAAAAAGCCACATCTAAGTCACAATAACTCTAACTTTTGTCCAATCCATCCGAATTGGTAATAAACTAGCTTCTCACAAACTCTGCAAGCCACACCATCCAATAATAATATAATCATAATATAAAAATATTATCATAAAGGAATCCAAAACATTGGTTGTTATCGTCACGCAATATATTATAGAACACACCTTAGAAGAAGAAAAACATTAATACAACGAACCAATGTCTAAAATTCTAACACATCTCTTCAAAAAAAAAAAAAATTTCTTTGATATAAAAAACATCACACTTACAATTTCAATCTCAATACAATCTTACAAATAAAAAAGTATATGTATAATAATATCAAGATACAAATGCATAAGCTTCTTCTCAAGAGTGTTGCTATACTATACCTAGTAGCGATGTCGAATCATTTGGATAAAAGATAGAGATATTACATTGAGTTGAAAGTAAACATGATTCTCTTGTGTCAAAGGAGAAGTTTCATTATCCTCTTTCCTTTCTTTGAACTGATCTTCACATGTAACCGAATCATCCAAGGCGGCGCTCACGTTGATATTGGCCGTGTCCAAGTCCTTGGACGTATTGAAAGCAACCATAGCATCATCTAAAGACGAAAGGGAATCATTGTAAAGATTTAAACAATCTTGTAAACAAGCCTTCACATGCTCACCGTGAGTTTGGTTTTGCAAGTCATGTGAAATTATGGAAATAATGTTTGTTCCATTGGACTTGGTTACTTGAATTGACATGCTCACAAGGTCTTCTAGTTTCTTTGGCTGTAATTTGGTCTTGCAAGCAGCTTCATAAAGAGATGTAACACAGAACTCATAGCTTAAATTCGGGTCATTCTTCGAGGCTTCTCTACAAGATCGAACGATAAGGTTCGACCTCGAGGCATTTGTTGTGTATTGAGAAAGAAAGAGAATGGAAATTATTACGTAAGTGAGGAATCTCATGCTTGAATATGAATTTAGGGTTTAAAATGTGATGGGGCATGTGATTTATACAAGTGTTAGTTTGGTGCTTTGGTAGGAATCTTATACTGCAAGATGATTGGTGAATGAAAACTTACTCGCAAATAGAAGCTAAAATTCTGTTTTTTTCTGATTGCTTTTCTCTTGTAGTCTGGTTACTTTTGGTAATATTTTCTTTATGCATATCATGTTAGCTAGAGACCATAAGAAAATTGTCGCGTAACGCATGGATACTCAAAAGAAAGAGTGTATCTATCTATTTAGCTATATAGTGACAAAAAAGGGAATTGAGAAGTATCTCACATTCTCAATTTACAAGTAAGAATCATTTCCATTTTTAAAAATAAAAAATACAAGTGTCTAAGTGACGGAACCAGAAAAATAAATGTGTGTAGGTCATTAAAATAAATGATAATATTGGATAGACGTCTTCTAATAATATATTCAATAATATAAAATTTAGAAGTGTGTTTGGTTGAATATTTTTAAAAATTAAACTATAATCACTTTTAAACCATTTAAATAGATTAAAATTATAACTAAAACAATATTTTAATCAAAATCGATTATAAGACTAGTTATAAATTCAATTATAGTTATATAATCATTTTTTTATAAACTTTTTAAAATCATTTTCTAAATCTGTTAACAATATATTAAATAGTATAAAATTTAGGGGTGTATTTAGTTGGATATTTTTTTAAACCAAGTCTTAACCACTTATAAACCATTTAAAGGGATTAAAATCATAATCATAATCACATTCTAATTAAAATCGATTATAGAATTAGTTATAAATTCAATTTTGATTATATAGTGGTTTTTTACAAATTTTTATAATTTTTTTAAAATCTGTTATTTATAAATTTAATTAAAAAATTGATTGTTTTTTAGTTTCAGTGGTTTTTTTAAAATCGAATATTTTTATTTTCAAAATTAATTTTTGAGGTCAATTTTTAAAAAAAATTGATTTTAAGTGATTATTAAACTTTAAATTATTTAAAAGAATTCAAATTTAAAATATCGACTAAAATTAATAATGATTTGATTTTTGTTAACTTTAAATTCCCGGTACAATTATACTAACATCACACAATCCAACTCACAACACAAAACATCAAAACCTAGAGAATATTCTATTCAAAATGACATAAAGATCAAGTTGTTCACCCTAAGCAACCATAAATTGAAACATGTTATTAACAATTTGTCTTTTTTATCAATTGCTCAATCACCTGGAATTAGAGCCAATGGGATTTGACATTTGAAAGCTCAAACTTACAGTCAGTTTTATTGAATTTTTTTAGAAATTAACTAAACATATCCTAAAATAATTGTGTTAAGAAATTTGAGGTGCAATACAGTTGACAAACAATTTTCTACTAGGGAAGTAAGTCCTTAAACCGTAAAGAATCTTTGGTTAGAAAGACTAGTTAGAAAGGCATGGGTCCATAAAGAACAATAGCATGCATCAACCAAGTGAAAGAAGTATTAATCAGAAAGGCTGGTCGACAAAGACATCAGTTTAGGAGGCAAACATGACAGGACACAAGTGTCGACAGGCAATAAAAGTGACGGCAAGAGCAGTTACCAACTCACAAGTCAGTAAGAACGTGGGGATGTTTCAAAGCAGTTTAAGGCAGTTCTCCATGAATCCCAACGTGGGACTAGTAACTGTCGACGGTTACGCTTTTAGACTTTTTATTTAAGAAAACATTTATATTCTTGTTAGAGGTTGTATTTCTTCATATTTAGAGCATTACACTCAAAGTACCTGCATCTAAGAGAGAAATGAGTTTAGGCTTGACAACGCACAAATGCTTCCACATTTAAATTCAAAGTAATTTTTCAGTTTTTTACTTTAAATTACAAGTCTTGTCATTTATTTTTCTTTACTTTGCAATTGTCCTTTACCTTTTTCATTTTTACCTACGAATTCTATATCAACCAGTTTCAACCCAAAACACTAAGACTGTGATTATTGTAGTTGATCCTACAAGTAACCTTTAATAAGAGGCTAGAGATTGTTCGCGAGAAACAAATTGGCACGCCCAGTGGGACACGTTGTGTTTGAGTATTTCTCGTTTCGTGCATGAAATTGAGAAGTGGTAGAAAAATGGTAGATCCTAGAACTCTTAAAAGGGATCAAACCTTGGGAGAAAATACCAACGCAGCGACGAGTGTGGGTTCAAGTTTTATGGTCGTGTCTTCGACTGCACCGAACATAGTTACAACAACACAGCTAGTAACTTTAAGACCATCAACAGTCATAACTTCTGAGAAGTATGTGCCTAGTTTTACAAGAGATACACATGGTGGTGTGATCCCGACTTCTGGGCAGTATGTGCCTAGTCTGGCAAGAGATGCGCATAATTTGGAACATGAATACAGAATGTCAATGGTGATGATCGCAGGCCTGCATAGCAATAGTTCGACATTTGGTGAAAACTTTGTGTTGGCGTTTTCCCCATATCACGCCTCAGGGCCATTGGGAAATCAATTTGCTCGTTCGACTAGATTGGGATTTTTCCCACCAAATCATACCAACTTTCACGCTAAGTATTGTTGCTATCATGAGGCAACAGATAGATAAAAGTAGTCATGAGATGGTAAATGTGCTTACTCAACAGACGAGTCTCATATTAAGACCTTTGTGATACCGTGGGAGAACAGACTTGAGGGTTTTGCGTTTTATCGCAAATGTTGCGGTTAGCAAGAGTCTCCACCGATTTTCTTTTATCCAAAAGGAAAGGTGAAAAAGCACAGGAAAGACCTTTGAGATTATTTCTTGAGTTCGGGGGGTAGATTATGAAAAGGGAAGGTATTAGCACCCTTTCCATCCATGGTTTTCCATGGGCTCTTAGTTACTTGATAGATCACTTGCTTTTTTTATTTTGAAATTGTGCTTTGTGTGGTTTTGAAAGTATTTTGTAAAAGAGGCCATTGTTTAGGCAATCTTTGTAATGATTCTCGTTCGTAAGAATGTATACAAAGATGTTTGTCTTTTTGAAAATGTTTTCATTGTTTGTAAGATGTTTTTGAAATGTGTGTGTTTGTTTTGGAAAATAGCAAGGATAGTTGTTTTGAAAGGGAGCAAGTAACTAGAACTAATCTACCTACTCAAATGTCTTTCTTGTTCATTTTCTTTTCCTTTGATATTGTTGTCTTGCCATTGATTTGGTAAGCAACCCTATCTTTAGATGTAAACGGGACGGGCGTGGGTCATCGTATAACCATGATTAGCAATATTGCAAAGTATCTTAGCATTTTTTGAGGGACTAAGATCATTTTATAAGGCAACTTTGAATAGCGTCATCGAGGGACTCTGATTTTATACTTGTTTGTGTTTGCCAAGATACTTCGCATGCGTAACATGGCCATTTTTATGTAAGGCAACCAAGTGGAGTAACCCTAAGGGTGCTTGTGTGCAAGTGTATCACTTTCATGCTTGATTTTGTCTTAGATTAGGGTTTTCTATTTGATTTGTTTTGATCTTGCCATTCAAACCCTAGTCACTAGCATGGTATATAAAAGCGGTAAATTACGTAATTTAAAGATTACTACGCTATTACAACATTGTATGGGATGGGGGAATACAAATTATGAATGGGGATTTGCAATAATGTAAACCTAAATTAATCTATTACAACCAAATCGAATTTGTATGAATATTTTAATAAATAATATACAATATAAATATGTAATGGTATGTATGCAAGAAAAAGATTTTTGTTTTGTTTTTCATATAAGGAAGAATTTTGAATTAAACCTAATAATATTAAAAAGGAAATTATTTCTTGAAAAAAAGTGGTTAACCCTAATTTCTAATTTAAAAGAAAATAAAGTTCTTTAAGTATTATTTTTGTGTATTTTTTTATTAAAAATAATAGATAATATTTTATGAAATATTTAGTCTTTTTATATGTCAAAATAAATATTTACAAGTATGAAGGAAAAGGAATAAAATATATCTAAGTCTATTTTATTTTAAAAGTTTGTTTAAGAAAAATAGTTAGAATATAATTTAATATAAAAAAATATTTTTTATGTGAAAATAAAATAAAATAAATCAAAATGCAATATTTATAATGTTTTATATTTTTTATGATTTTTTATGTTAAGGAAAATATATTTAATAAAATGAAAATGAAAATAAAAATAAATAATAAAAAGATTGGGCCAGGGGTGCTGTAAGGAGAAAGAAAGGTAAGTGTTAGAAAAAAAAATGAGAGGCCCAAAGGAACAAAGCCCAGCGCTGCAAAAAATGTCAAAAATGAAGCTGAAAAAATATGAAAAATGCAAAAGGTAGCTCCAAGGTTCGAACCCATGACCTATGCATTTTCAGCGCGCTACCTTGCCACTGGGGTGGCTGTACATCCGTTAGTTCATATGAAACAAAAAATATATAACACATAATGCCTCCTTGCCCTGTACTTCATCTTCTTCCTCAAGCTGGCCAGAACCTTTGTATCTTTCTCATTTCTTCATGAAAATGGAAACTTCAAACATGAAAATGGTAGTATTCTTTTCCACGATTTCAACCATATAACTCAAGTAAACTAACAATCAAAGATCAAAGCGAATTTCAATGGCCCTAATTTTTACAGAAATTTGAACTCTAAAATTCTCTATACACAATGAATATAAATGAAATCTATGAACATGGTTGGTTTTAGCACAAGGATATCTACATTTTATCTTCACAAATCATGACCAATAGATGCCTGTATGAAGAGATAGAAGTTAGAGTTCTTACCTCCTTCAGCTGAGATCGTGAATGGAGTTTGAGTGAGTTTTATGAAGGCCTGAAGATTCCTTTAGCTTGCCTGAACCTCCCTGAGTATGTTCCAATCTTTACCTTGCTTTGAAAGTTCTGAATCTCTCTATCCAAGTCAACCTGCAAGCTTGAAATGCAAAAATGGAAGATGGAGAAGGAGGAGTTACAGTGAAGGGATGATGGTCTGGAACACTTAGATATGATG